TACCCTGCTTGCAGCACAGGCTTTGCAGCTTAGCAGAGACCTGCAGAAAAGAGGTCAGATCTGACTTTCCATTACTTAAATATTACATAAGATTTTCTTTGTTAAAATAATCACCTGATAATTTCTGTAAAACTGAAACATCTTATTTGCCTATCTGCTGAGATTTTCTTTATCCCCTGCTCTTTCTTATAGCTGACAAGTACATGGGACACCGAGTAGTCCAAGCACTTTATTTTTTGTTTGGAAAGGCTGAGTGGTCTCTTTGCTTAAAAAGAAAAAAAAAAAGTTGAGAAACACAGTTGGGAAGTTCTGGTTCTGTCCTTTCCTTTTGACTGCTCATTTTAAACATATTCAGAAGGTGTTTGTGATTTATTTGTAAAATGCTTTCGCTTTCTGTGATCACTGAATGTGAACACAGTGGTGTTTCTGTAATTGCTGTAACTCAATTCAGGTTAATAACTACTTTGCCAAATGAACACAGCATCATAGGAGCACTGCCTTTTTAGTCTAGCACTGACAACACACATTAGCAGGTGGTGCCCCACTGCATGGCTCTGCTACCTTACGCAGGCAGGATTTGGAGGCCCTCTTGGACTGAGCAGTGGAGCTCTAGGGAAGCAGGGTATTTCACTGACCAGCAAGATTTGACACAGTTTCTCCGATGAACTGCGCCTGTTACAGAAGTTGCTGTGATCCTGTCTGACTGGGCTGTGTCTGAGGCCTGTACTTTTTTCCTACCTGCACAGGAAGCTTGAGAAGGACAGGAAAGAATGCCCTGTCTCAAGTGTCAGTATCACTGTTGTTTTGCAGATGCCCTTCTCTAACCATCCTCTAGATACAGGCAGTCACTTCTGATAAATTGTATTCTTCTCAAGGCTGGAATGCTAGCACGTTTTAGCAAAGCCTTACCAATGGGTCCTGTTAAGCTGGGTGGCCCTCCTTCCAGATGGAAGTGGTCCAGAACAGCTTGGTGTGGTCAGCTGGCACAGGAAGCTGAATAGACACTGACATCCTTCCCGCTCACTTGAGCAGTGTGTCAGGAAGAGGGCAGAAGGAGAGAGGCTGTCTGAGGAGTGAACAAACCAAACCATACCAAACATTAGCAGTAAGTGCTCAATCATGAACAGCCAGAAAGTTGTGCTGGAAAGAAGAAACACACAGAAGCAGCAGTAGCAGTGCAGGATTTTCTGCAGCCACAAGTGCTCAAAGCTGAGGATAGCACTCAGAAAAGAGGATGCCTATGCTAATACAGTCCCCGTGAGCATCATTCCCTTAGGATGCTGCTGAAAGGTTATGGTTGGATGAAAAAAGCAGCGGGGGAAATAAGTGATAATCCCAGGCTTGGTTACAGGGGTTCATTAGATACAGCACTATCTGGTGAAATTGTATTTCTTTCTTAATCCTTTCCAAAGGATTTGTTGACTTACAGTAACATTAATCACTGGCAAAAAGGTATATACAAGGGTTTGGTTCAAAAGTGTGTGAATTTAATAATGTAAATGGTAATGGAAAATTACTTGCACAAATGACTGCTTTCAATGTTGCAACAGAAAAGAATTTACAATACTAGAAATGTAATTATTGAAGGTGATTAAAATTTTGGCTTCAGTTAGATTATATTCCTTCCAAATCCAACACTCTCCACTCCAGAGAGATTATTCATAACTTACATATTGCACTTGACTTAATTGGCATATGGAGTAAAAACATGATTTATCTGCTTTGTTCTAACCCATCTATTAAATGAAGCCTTGTTTTGTGTTTGACTCTTGCAGGTTTAGGTAAAGTGCTTTTAGTTTGCTCTGTCATGGCTTTTCCTTATCTGATCACTGTTCTGCTTTTTATTATTCAATGATTGCAGTTATGCGGGGGCTGTGTCATAAAGCATATTGAAAGTGTAATGCCACTTGAAATCCGAGAACAAAATGTATGGTTATTTCATTCACCAAAGTAATTCACTCGATGCTGAGCCTCTTAATGGCACACTCGGTGTGTTCGTTTCAGAAGAGCAGTAGTCAGGTATTCGTGAACTTACTAATAAAGCTGGGATTTCTAAACAGAAATCAAGTTTTGTAGTGCAATAGGAAGGAATGAATTTTTTAAAAATCTATTATTTGATGCATCAAGGAACGCACTAAAGATCTCCTCTTTTAAAAATCCATTTCTCCTATGACAAAAGGATTAGATCAGATAAAGGCTGAGGTGTCTTTATTTGAGATGGAGGAAAAAAGGCCACACCCACCTTGTTGTGGTTAGGAAAGTAGGGTTTGCATAGGCTGATCTTGTCTGTGAGCTGTTTTGAAAGTAAATGTGAACTTCAGCAGGGCTGTGAATGAAAATATAGCTAAGAGATGTGGTGAGTGAATGTTTGTGTGTGGATAGATACAAGAAGAGAGCTTTGTATGTCTCTCAGATGGGGACAGTGTTTGTACTGTAAAGCATCTCACCCAAGGCAGAAGTTTGCCTTTCTCAATATCCCATTTTTCTAATTTAATTCGTGCAGTGTGTACTCAGTGAAGGGGGAAGGCTGGCAGCTGTCCTTCATCCCTGAAAAGAAATGACAGAGGGTGAAACTGGGAGAGATTTAGACGAGTGTGAATGGTAGGGAAAAGTGAGTATGGGACTGTTCCTTGTGCTTTCTAATGCAAGCTGTAAGGGCATGAAATAAGAATAGCTGATGGCATGTCCACAGCAGGCAAAGAAGCTGTTTCTTTTAGCAGTGATCCACAGAACTCATCGCTGATGCAGAGGCTGAATGCTTCTATCACCTCGAAAAGTGGGTGGACAAATCCATGTAAGAAAAGCCAGCAGGGGTGGTTAAATGCAGAGGCTTCATCTCTATCTTCAGGAGCTTTTGTAAATGGCCAGGAGCTTTAGTTTTACACCTCAGCGCCCTATTTTTTTTGTTCTCTGGTCATCTGCTGCTGGCCATTTTTGGCAAGAGGGACCTGGCCCTGTGATTTGAGCTAGAACAGCTGCTTCTGTACACAGTGTGTCCTGTCCAGAGACCATTTGCTAAACACTTCCAACCTGTCTCAGCATGCAGTGGTTAGATTTTGGAAGGGTTCAGTGAAGCAGTGAACTCTTCAGCAGTCAGGGATGTGTCAGTGGTGGCTGTTGTCTGTCTCCGTTTTTCTTACAAATGGTGCTTTGAGCATCTGGCCAGTTCTGGTCTTTCTTGTGACCTCACTCCTGCTTGTCATTATTTGGATACTGCTACTCCCAGAGCTGAAGCTCTTTCTAGCCTTACCTAAGCCCTATGGAACAAAGCCCACAGAAGGCCGTAACCATGCTGGTCCTCTCAAAGCTGATTAGCACTTATGTAAAGAGACTTTCTGGCTGCAGTTCTTTTGGCTCTGAGTCATTGTTTTTGGCTTGCCTAGCCAGCAATGTTTTGAACCAGAGCTGCTGTGTCTTGCTGGGCTATCTAAACTCAGTGCTCGTTTGTGACTTACCATCCTCTGTCTTGTCCAGCCCCCAGCAACACTGCTTAGTTTCTCCTCCTGTTCCCCAGACAGAGATGGTCAAGCTTTTCCATTGTGCCATTCAAGTTGATAGCAATGGCTTTGTAAAGAAACAGGCTCAAAGCACAAACTCTGCCACTTTTTGTTACTGGAAAGTTGAATGCTGAAGTTTTCTGTGCCTAATATTTGCTCTCATTAACTGTTTGATACGTTAGCTGGAAGGAGGAAGACACTGGTTGTCTTCATTTTATTTTGGGTGCAGGCAGTCACAAACAACTACCTCAAACTGTTTTAACATTTGGAGCTGAAGAACATATTCCAGCAGTTAAACGTGCCTCTAACTTGAGAGACAGAGAAATGTGCTTAAAGAACACGGTTTAAAGAAACGTTCTTCCCTCCCTGCTTTTTGACACAGAAGTGAGATTGCCCTCTGCAACACCTGACCACCAGATCAATGACTTCAGCACTTGTACCCACTTCATCAGCACTGGGCAGCTGCTGCAATGCTTGCAACACTCTTGATGTCACTGTTGGGTTTAAGCCAATGATGTATTTTATGATTAGAGATTTTGTTTTTCACTGGAACAACTTCAAGGCTTTTTCATCACTAGCTCATGTTTATTCCTTGCACCAGTGGAGAGAAAATGAGTGAGTGGCAGAGACCAATCTGTGCCAGATACTGACGACAGTGTCTGTTTTACCAGCCCTCAGCCATGCTGATCTCAAAAAATGTCAAAAGTTTACTGGGGATTTTTTCTCTGGATAGAGGAAAACACCAAAATGAGGGCATTTAAATAAGAGGTTGGACTTTTCTCCCTTCCCTTCTGTAGCATGCACAAATGAGGCCTTCCCCCACCCCAGCCCCTTCAGTGGGTCTCTGTGCATCCTGAGAGACAGAACAGAGCGTTTTCTAAATACAATAAACATTACTCTGTCATGATTAGTTTTGACATTTCTGTGTTTTATTTCTTGTTTTGTTTGAAATGACCTGTACCACAAGAATACAATTTATTTATTTCACAGGTTTTTCTTTCTTTCTTTTTTTAAGGAGCAGATAATAGTTAAGTAGATACTGTTTATTTCACTGTCTATAACTCCCTGCATCAATCTCACAGCCTCTGTCTCTTTAGCTTCCCTCTATAAGCCAGCCACAAGAACATACAATCGGCCATACAGTTGATTATAGCTTGTGGATACAAAGTGGAAGCACTTTTTCTCAGCTCCAATTGGTAATAAAAGCTCAACAAGTTACATTCTAGGGTCTTCCTCAGTGATTTTCCCCTCTAATAGCTGCTTAAATGTTTCTGGTGAAATTGTTAATTGTTTAAAAAAAAAGATGACAGCTGACAAAGAGAAAAATAATGCCCCCTTAGTGCAAACAGTACTGTGAGGTTCTGATTGTTGCAGGGGACTTTCCTGTAACTTCACAGTTTTGCAGCGAGGTGTAATGCCCGAGTTTCCCCAGAAACCTCATTTTTGTGTAGTGTTTTACCCTTTCCTTTAATTGATCCCCATGAAATTAATTTTGCAATACAGGCCAGAGACTGCTGTTCCCGCAGAAGAATGTGCCCAAAACAGAAGAACTGGTCACTTGGGAAGATCTGCCTTTTCGCAGTGGCTCACAGGTATGTGGTTTCTGTTATCTGCACATGCGTATCGGGGGCTAGAGCTGCTTTTACCATACTAGCTGCATGTCAGCTTCATGCTTATTCACTGTCACCAACACACTTACCTCTACAGTTTAGCTTTTCTTTAAGTCACAGAAATTGGGGCCCAAACTCTGTCATCTTTTGCCCCATGCAAAAGGACAGCTGTATGGAGCTGACTCTGTTAGCCCCATATTACAAATGAATGGCATAAGAAACACTGACCAGAACCCACCTCCCAGTTTATGCCTGAATTCCACATCTCCAGACCGCTTTGTAAGAGCCTATGAGAATCCCAAGACCTAAGCAGTTGCTGAAGCCTCATTTCCCATGTCAAACTTTACTGAGGGGACTACACTAAGATGTCACCCTTTTCTGCAAGCCTGACCTGCTGTGTAGCTGGACATGCTCCTCTTTTGTGGCAGCATGCTGGTACTAGTGAGGCACAGCAGATCAGAGAAACTGGAAAGGGATGAGATGCACGTGAAGCCTGCACTTGTCTGAAAGGCCAAGAGACCTGCCCTGCTTCCCAACTAAGATGGTATAAGCCTTTTAAGGGTTAAATCTAGGCAGGTGTTTCTGTCCCCATTCTTGGGAAACAGTTTGCATCCCTGGTATAGAGAGATAAATACATGCTAATTACTGCCTGGTTCAGTTCCCATCCTGTTTCAGAAGCAAACCAGCAAAATTTCCAGGCCTACTACCTTCAAGCAATGAGGGGATATCCAGTTGGGCTCCAAGATTATGCAGCTGTAATGGAGAAAGAAAGTCCAGGAAAAAAATGAATTTAGTATCTTTATATTGTTCTGCCAACGCAGCCGTTGCCTCCATACTCTAAATAGACAGCAGTCGCTGTTAGCTAGAAGGTAACTCAGCAGCCCTCCTTTACAATCATGTTTTCTAGGTTATTTTCCCCTCTGTTCTGAAAAGCAAGCCCAAGTTCAAATTCAACAAAGCTGGAGGAGTCTTTTCACACTCACAGAATGGTTGAGGTCCTCTGGTCCAACCCCGCTGCTCAAGCAGGGTTACTTAGAGAAGAATTCCCTGGAACTTTTTTTAAATGACCTTCTCAGCCAGGGCCCAGCAGAGTAAGACTTGCTTCTTAGGAACTTTTCAGCCCACTTTGGGACAGCTGTGAGGCAGGCTGGAACACAGTGTGCTGCAGCTGAGTGGGACTCAGCAGAGAAGCAACAGTGGTCAAGTGAGTCCTGCTTAGAGACCACAGCACAGCAAGTGTGTGAGAATATTCATGCCACAGCCAGAAAGAGTTGCCAGGTTGCAACACGCTGCAAACTGGCTCTAGTGAAGGCTTGCATTTCAGTTTGGTCCCTCTCATTCACAGATAGATACAGAGATTGTAAGCGCAACCAAAAGCTATCGTTTTTCTCCCCGCTCTCTCTGGGAGGGTGAAGGTGAAAAGAAGCACAGGTATCTGTTCAAGCACAAGGCCACTGTGTAATTGCTGCTGCTTTGAGTGTGGAAACAATCCCAGCTCCCGTGTGCCTTCTGACTCCTGGATCTTTGCTGGCTTACTAATGTGCCTGAAGCAGGACTGAATTCTTTTATGTAGTGAGTACAGAATGGGTGAGTAGCTATGACTGTATAGTGTTGGGAGAACTCAGAGGAGATGGAACTGAACTAACTAAAGGACCAGCAGAGGGCTAGCAACATGAGCTGAGAGCTCAGTAGCAGCGAAATTTCCCCAGTTTCTGAGCTAGCCTGAGCTTTGCACTGAGATACATGTTCAGTTCCAGTAGAAAACAAGCACCCGGTACCTCCCTGATCACACTCCACAGTTTGGAAGGCTTCCTGTGCAGGTCACACCACTGGGTTATCCAGGAACGTAAGCCTAGGTTGAGAAGAGGCAGCAGAGGCAGTGGTGTCTCAAATACAGATCAGAGGCTTCTCCTCAGCTCTGTTGTCATGCCACTCACTACCAAACAGACAATACATTCTCTCACCAGCTCAGGCTGGCTCAGATCAAAGTGTCCAAAAAAATAAAATCTCACAGAATGCCAAGCTAGTTTTTTCAAGCCACCCAAAATCCCCTCTGAATACTGAGAATGCAGCAGTTGTGATTTAGCCAGCTGAGCTAAACTAAGGCTCAGACACAGTAGAAACCTAGTGACATGAGTAAACAAACGTTCCACCACTTCTTCTCTGACCACCTTGAGGTCAGATATATCTCTTCTTCCATCAGTGAGAGAACCTCTTACCAGGTCCAGGGATAATCCATGCTACCTTTTTTGCTCTGTTGAGGATAATGGGATGAGGCAGGGGAAGACAGTAGTTGGGATATTGGATCTGGGGGTTCCACGCCAACCTCTAAGCTTATTTGCCTAGGCTGCCACAAAAAAAGGAAAAAAAAAAAACAACGAAGAAAAAAAAAAAGCAGTCTCTTGGGCTCAGGAGCTGTCTCCCCCAAAAAGCAGTTCCTTTGATTTCTAACTAGTATTTGGCAATAAGCCTAAGTCTCCATGGAGGCAAAGATCTATTACTTGAATGAAGTCTAGGCAAGCCCTGGTTTGGGGTGTGTTTATACGTGGGTGGTAACCATGCAGACAAAGCCTTGTGCTCTCTGCCACAAGGAACGAGTGGGAAATGGCACTCAGCTGCACTGAAGAGGCAGGTTTTATATACTATAGGGCGAAAAGTGCAGAAGAATTGTAGTTAGCACCACATGGAAAAGGATGCAGAGATTATCAAGTCAACCCAGCACAAAAGCTTACACCAGAATCTGTTTTTCTCACTACTTGGGAGACTTGCATTCTCTCAGGGACATACATCCTGCCTCTTCAGGGTCCTGCGGGGATTGCACATGGGAGGGACTAGCCAGGCGTAATGACACGCTGTACAAGGTCGCAGGGTATCTTACACAGTTAGGAGCATCTTTCCCGGTAAGAAGTGGGGCCTGTATGTACAAGTGTTAGCTGGCGTTAGAGGAGCCTGGGAGGCAGCCATTTTGATCAGGAGAGGTCCAGTACTGCTCTTCTCCAAAGGAGCATCTGCCCTTTGTTAGAGCCAGAAAGGTGACAAAATGAAGGACCCTGGCTGCTTCCCTTTCTATCTGACCCCTCACACCACAAGCAGATAAAGTTTATATTGACTCTATTCTTCGTCTCTTCCTGCTTCAGTCCCCACTCCCTCTCCAGCACTGGTGGAGGGGGCTGGGGACCAGGCGGCCGGCACAGTGCTGAGAGCAACATCGCTCAGAGGGGCTGAGCCCCAGCGACCGCCTCAACAAGTGCAAGAGCATATTCTGGTATTTCCACAGAGAAAACAAATGAAAAAAAGAGAAACAGGTGACTGATTAAAAGAGTTTTCCCCCTCCTGTACATGAGATTCTGCAGTCACGCCGACAGATAGACATTAAATAATTCTTCCATAATAAATGATTGGAGATAAAAGCCGGCGGTGGCTGCTGCTGCTGCTGTTTGGATTGCTCCGTTGTCTGCATCTTTGTTTCTAGTTTGTTCCCCGGCCATTGTTGGCTGGCACTGGGGCTGTCAGACCTTTGCCTCTAGCATTTCTAGGAAGAGTTTATGCATGGGAACCTTGCCCTGCAGTTTGATGCTGTAGAAGTGCTGCACAGCTTTGGCGGCTGTCTGCCGCAGGAGGGGCAAGGTCAGGAGCAGCTTCCCTGCTCGCCGGGGCTCCTCGTTGCGCTGACTCAGCTCGTAGTCCTGCAGGGCTTCGTGGAGAAGGTCCTGGAGCTTCTGCACCGCATCCATGTCCTCTATGTGCATAGAGTCTGGGGGGAAGGGAGAAGAGAAAGCAAACAGGACATGAGGAAGGAAACAGTTTCCAGTATTTCAGCTGAAGATCTTTTTTTTTTTTTTTTTTAAATAAATTGCTTTTCTCTTTTGTTTTGTAAGGGGAAAAAAAATCCAACTTGCTTGCAGGTGCAGGTGCTGAAATTTAGTGTCAGGCCCAGGAGCTGGCCCTAGCAGTGCAGGAACAGTAGAAATGTTACTGGGGTTTGTGACACGTTGTGCCCTGTGTGCCCACTTTGCTGGTTACTCCAGGCTGCAGGGGGTCGGCCAGGGGTCTTTGTGACTTGCACATTCACTTGCCCTCCATGCTCCTGCGGGGGAGTCACCCTGCAAGGGGCAGCATCTGCTGTGCTGCCGCTTGGGAGCAATCTCATTAAGAATAATTAACACTGCTGTAGTGCTTCATCTGTCTAAACTACCTAATTGCCATGCAGCTGCTCAGGGTGTCGCAAGACAGAAAAGCCCCAGCAGGTCACAGTCAGTGTGCCCAGGGGTGTTGCCAGCCCCACCTTTGTGCATATGCCCCTATTTTCAGAGACTGCCAGCAGCTGCTCGAGAGTTTCCCAATTCAGTCCTTCTAGAAATCTGCACCTCCTGCAAAACCTCTTCCTTTAGGCTGCCAGGCTGCTGGAGAGGCTAACAGAGAGTGCAAGGCTAGCATGGCACCTCGGTGTATCTCTGAGGCAAAGGCAGCTGATAGTGACCCAGTCCTGGGTCAAGCTGAGGCACCGACGATTAACAGACTGCTAAATCTGTGGGGAAGTCTTGATGGCAGAGGGCACCACAACAGAGGAGAGATGTTAGATTAGAGAAGCTAGCTAAGCACCATGTTGTTGAAGGTTTTCTCCCTTTCATCTTGCTGATAGTTGCTTCTGCCTCACAATCCTGACAGAGTTATACACTGTTGCCTTGTCTTCATTGGTCAGAGACTTTTAATCAATATTGAATGCACTGGTGAAGATTCCTATTTTGGCCATGGGGCAATGAATCTAGAAGCAGAAGCAAAGGGATGCTAGAATAAACATACAGTTGCACCTGTCTGCCACTCTAGCTGGGCTCTGCAGTGTAACAGTGTCTTGCTCAGCCTACGTGCATCCAACGCAAATGTGAGGACTTGTTTCCCAAGTCTGACAGCAATAGAGGAGGAGGAAGGCTGGATGAAATGCCAGAATCTCTCCAGAAATACAAATAATCTCTATGGAGAGCTCAACACAAATTGGAGACTGTGAATTTCATAAAATACATGTACAGTAGATGCTATTTATGACGTATGATTCATAAAGTATTACAACAGCCAAGAAAATAATATGTCTAACAAGGAGGCTGTTTAAAAAGATGTTTAGAAGGAATGCACTAATTAGGGCATATCGAAGGGTTGTACTTCCAAGATGCATATTGGGAAAAAATCATTATTGCTGTATTTGCTTTTTGTAGCCAAGAGACCAGGCAATGAAGCCCAGAAAAGGGCTGGTGGGTCCTCATAGTGACTTGAGCTTGCCCCAGAGGTTGATTCTGAAAGAAGAGAGAGAAAGGAATGGAGAGAGGGAGGAAGGGAGAGACGGAGAAACAGCCTGGCAAATTCTCCCAGAAGCAGGTGGTGCCTCTGGAGAATTTCCATACACCATTAGGAGAAGCATTTCCTTACAAATTGCAGAGGTGATTTTGGAGAATAGAAGCATCAAGAAGTGGAACTCAGAGAGAAATATGCTCCACACTTCCTACTTTATGTGTGTCCTTCTGGCTGGGGGCACGAGGGAAGAAGCAAGAGCTCCTGTCAGAGCTTACAGAGTCCAGTAGGTGCTGGAGGCACAGTAAAGTCATGCTTCAGGTCAAGGGTTGCTGCTGCTTCTGCTGTGCAGTAGACAATGCTCAAGCTGTGCCCTTATGCTACCAGGCCTCTGTAAGGTGAGGAGATCCTAACAGCACTAAATAGCCAGGCATATAGATGGAGACAAATTGGGGAAATAAAGATCCAAGGCCTGTCTTTCTTCTTCTCCCACTCTTTGCTGAAAGATGGTCAAAATCAGCAGCTGACTGCAAAATATAAAATAACACTGCAGGATTAATTTCCTTTCAAGCCATCAATGAGCTGGTGTCAATGGCATTGATAAACTGTTAATTACAAAATCAATAGCTATGAATTTTTACAGCTGTCAGAGCACTGAGGTGCTCTGGAGGCAGCCTGGTCATGTTCCTAAGGGTCAGCAAGCCTACATATGAGGCTTCGTGTTAGAAGCCTTTTTCTCCAGCACGGCTGACATGGAACTTAGAGCAGGTATGAGAATGGACACACATACACATACACACACCAAAAAAAAAAAAAAAAGAGAAATAAGAGTTGGTCAGTCTGGGACGTCTTCAGCCAAACATGTGCTGTATGCTAACCTGGAGAGCTCTTTGATGCACAGCATCATCAATTTGTATTCTTGTGGCGAAAGGAGCTAGAAATGCTTAACATGGGAATGCTGTCTCTAAACTGTAACAGGTGACATTTACAGCACACCTACTCTGTCAAAAAATGGTTGACGTTGCATTGTTTGACCTTGCTTGCTGCTTTGGGGCATTAAGAATTAATTTCTCTGCTCTCTGAAAAGTACTCAGTAAAGACAGATTTTGGTTGGTGCCAGTCCCACCAGAGGAGTCCTTGGTGCATTTCAGTGATGATTAGATATCAGACAGAGTTCGGGCAAGGCAGTTCCTTCAAAGCAGCACTGCACCTACTGTCACCTTCCCTTCTAGTGAACAGTGAGTGAGCTGCCACTTCTGTTTCCATTCACTTTAATTATTAGAAACAAAGGCTCAACGTGCACCGAGCTGCATGGAAGAGTGGAAACTCCCTAGAAACTGGATTGCGTGAGAAATTACATCCAACAGAAAGAGGGGAAAATCAGAAATTTATCTTTATGGAAGGCAAGGAGAAAAGACAGGTTCCAGCAACACAGGTGTTAATCTAAACGCTCAGCTTTAAACCTTGCCTCTGACCCACATAGCTAATGGCTGGCCCAGAGACAGTCTGCATTCCTTCTGTTCTTGGAGTCAGCTGTGCATGCATGTAAGTACGCACATGAAGGTTCTGCAGGTTTATTCCATGTCAAAAATATACTAAGAATAATAACATGTATTAATACAATGCAAAGGTTGAATGTGAAGGTTATGTTAGAAGAATACAGCTTACCCTATCTAGTTTCCTTGTGTGTGTGTACATACATGTACTTTCACATATTTCAGTAAGACTAACAAAGCAAGATTTTTGTGGCTTATGCTGCTACCTGACTGTACCTAGAACAAATCAGTGCAGTTAGAGTGGCTTTTCCCATTCATGTGGGGCCTATGTTTCCTGACTTCTACCTTGGTTTCTTTGCTCCACAGTGCTAAAAGAAGAACTCTGAAGCATTGGTTGTTCTGCTCAGTGTTTTTCTACTACTGCAGACTATTCCATAAGGCTTACATGGGGCTTAGTCCTGACAGCACAGTGACAGTACCAGTAGAGTGCTTCTTCTGCACCATGAAGAACTTGAGAGCATCAAGGCTCAGGTCCTACAACAAGTCCACTCAAACATGGGTCAGACAAATGTCCCAGTGTGGTTCTTCTGTCACCCTGTCACTACACTGCCTTAACTCTTCAGCCTCTCTGAGATGCCCTTCTCCTTGTTTAATCCCATGACCTTCTTGGTAGACAGGAGGCATGTTTTTTAACAAGAGTTGATTGCATAGCCAAAAACCACCATCCCACAATAAAGAGAAAGGGTAGCCTTGGCCATCTGCCCATTCTGGTTCAGTGGCAAAGTAAAGGCAGCAATTAGAGGTAAAAAAGCAGTATATGAGAAATTGAAAAAGGGAAGTAGATAGCAATTCATATGAATCAAAAGTTATGAAGTGTAGAAAATCGATAAGCGAAGTGAAGGACATTGGAAGAAAATCCATGGCTGGAAGGGCTAAGGGCCATAAAGAAGAGTTTTATAAATATTTAAGAAATAGAAGAAAAATGACCATTTGTAGGGGGACTCTTTTATGTTGTAGATGATTAAACTATTAATAGAATGAGGAAGTGAGTATTTCTGTCCTGCATTTAGAATAAGAAGTGTTATGTACCTGTCTTATATGAAGATGGTGAGACGCCTTACTCAGTTGTTTCCACAGGAAGGTATCAGACATCTGTTAGGGACAGACTTCAGAGGAATCAGTAGACCTTGATACCTTGGCTTTTAGAATTTTAAAATTGCTGACAAAGGCCCACCTAGGGCAGGTAAATAATTGCTAAGGGTAGGTATTTTTGAGAAATTCGAGATGGCTGGAAAAGTTCTAATGAAGCATATACTGTCCCTGTTTGATAACTGCCACTGATGTGAACCAGAGTAAAATAAAGGAAGAAGAAAAAGTTCAATTAAAACTTAAGAGGTGGTATTACAACTACTGCCGGTCTGCACAATACTTTGGAATGGAGGTCTTGTCAAACAAACCCGATTTCATTCTCTGATGAGATTACAAGTTTGGTTGATAAAGTTAACTGCATAGATATAATAGACTTAGTCTTTTATATAGCACTTGGCTTAGCACCACAGGACATTCTCATTAAAAAATTAGCACCATGCAATATCAATAAAGCACACTTTCAATTGATTAGTTACTGGCCAGATGACAGATTTCAAAGTAGCTATCAGTGGTGAATCATCCCTGGAGGAAGAGATTTCTGGTGGAAATCCGCAGGGATCAGTAAAACAACAGAGGCTATCCAACGTTTTTATCAATTATCTGTAAGTGATTTGGTTCTTTCTTTCTTTAACTTCTTTCTTTCCAATTGCTGCTGCTAAGATGTGTGGATGACAAACCAGAACAGAAAGGTATGAAACAGAGTAGCCTCACAGAGCATTCTGGACCACTTGCTTGTACTTGAAGTAACACCTATAGCCCAGGAATGCAACTATGAAATAGGAACTATATCATGTCAAGCTGTCAGGTGCAGAAGAACCTGGGATCATAGGACACAGCTCAGAAAAGCACTATCTGCAGGCTGATTGAACTCAGGCAAACTGTCACTTGGGATATGGTACCTTTCTTTTCTTTCTAAATTGAGAGAATGATCAATTTTTAGAGACAACAGCAGGTGTGGATTTCCCCACATTTAAGGCCTTCAGCTTCATACTGAGTGCCTTTCTGGAAAGTGCCTTTAGCTGAACACAGATACTGGACTCACTGCTGGCCTGCAAGGGTGAACTGCGTAACCTACACACTGCAGTTTGGCAAGATCAGATGTGAGACAGTGAGACTCAAGGTATGTAGAGGGAGCCCTCGTCACACAATAGCTTCAGCAGTTTCCCTTCGGAAGGAACTCCTGAGCAAATATATGTCTGGTACAACATCAGTACAGCACACACAACCTTGTGCCTCCCATGGGCACAGGCTTCCAGCCTGCTGGCCTGAGGGCTGTGAACCTCCCCTTACTGAGGTAGAGGCTGAGGGCCCTCATCTCTCTCATCCTCTCCCAGAAAGAAACAAAACAGGCAACATCCGGCTTCTGCCAGCACATCTTATCCTCTACCATTCAGACGGGGGGTGGGAGGGGGGGAATTCAGTGTCAGTGGTCACTAAACACCTACAGCAGCAGACCAAGCATCCTTAACCCCACAGGATGGTTGTTTTTTGTTTGTTTGTTGTTTTGTTGTGGGATCTAAAACTAAGATTAGAATTTCCCTATTTGCTATAACTGCCCAACGCTACTTGAGTGGATGCAGGCTTGGCCTGCATCCCTTTATCTAAACTCATGGCACAAGGCCTTTCTTTTAGTGCTAGAATCCAGCCCACCTCTGGCAGGTCCCATTCCTCAGTTCAGGGCCAGTTTGCAAATTGAGGCCATAGTAGCAGCAGGCCATGCTTCTCTCTCCTCACCAGCTTAGGGAGCCTCCACCTCCCTCATCTCTTGCAGCTGACAGAGAAATGCAGGGATGCTGCACGACACGGGCAAAGCACAGACTCAAGCACTGGGCCCTAAGCTCCTCCCAAGCCAGATAACAGCATGCGCAATGACTCTGATCACCAGGCTGCCTGGGCCAGGGCTGTACCTGAATTGGCAAGGGCCAGAGCTTTAAGCGTGACAAACTCTTCCTTTTCCACCTTGAGCTTCTTGTAGCGGCGCACCAGTTGTAGGATGGCCAGGTAGAGCTCGAGCAGCCCCGTCAGACGAGAGTGTTCTTCATCCATGATGTAGTCCTCAGCATAGACGAGCTTGTCCTCGTATGGCAGGGAGCGGTACACAATGCCCAGGATGAGGATTTCCATCCAGGCGCTCTGCAGGAGGCTCATCTGGTCCCCGAGGGAGAGATTGGAGAACCCTGATGGGGCAAAAGACAGCCAGCGTCAAAAGGGTGTGCAGCAAAGAATCCCAGAGCCTGGGCTTCCTAATTTCCCTGCGGTCCACACAAAGCACTCTCCCCCTGCAACTCTCAAAAAATGCTTACTGAAGTGGCCCCTGTCTCTGTGGCACAGAACACACAGAATATGGCAACCTTAACGATAATCTCTTTTCACTGATTTCTACTTCTTCTACAGCAGCAACTGTTTTGCACCACAACTTCCTGTTCACTGCACCTTTACAATTTTGTATAGCAGCCCATTTAGTCTCCCCAGCTGAACCAAAGAGCAGAGAGCTCCAGAAAGCAGAAATGATTGTTTCTGATGGAATAGGAAGAAATAACACACACATACTGCAATCTCTCATTTCAGACAACCTAAGAGAAGGTCCTGCCACAACAGAATGCTAAAATGTTAAAAGCTGAATGTGTCTGTGAAAAAATCCACTTCTATTCATCAGTATTCCCTGAGCTCCGCACCATCAGCATTCTGCCCCTCACAGCCAACCTTACCCAGTACACAAACACCTCTGTGGTGCTATACAAACAATTTCTTGCCAGGCCCTGTAGCGACAGAACAGTGAAGCAGATCGTCCTCCCCAAACGGAAAAAGAGCAGTCAAAGTCACATTCATAGACAGCATCAGAGTCCTGTTGGCTCTGGTGGAGAAGTGGAGAGGCTGAAACACAGAGGTACTGTCTATCTGAAGAGAAAGGGAAAAGCAAGTGCGTAGGAAAGAAAGTTATATCCGTTATGTCCTCAGTATCAATCCCAGAAAGCCAGATCATGAAAGAAAGATCCTAGGAGACAGGCACTGTATGACAGCCATTGCAGACGGAGACGTCAAGTACAGTGAGTTGGTCCTGTCTTGGCAGCTCCTGGCCACCACTGACAGGCAGGAATTGTGATTTTTGGCAGTTCCTTGTGTCTAAAGGTCCCCCAGGCAGTGGGAGAATGGGGCAGTCTGACACTCTCAGCTGGGAGGACTGTGCTGCACCAGCCTCCCCTGCCAGTCTTCACTCCACATGCTTATTCAGCCTTGGGGTTCACTCTCCTCAAGAGGCATGGGAACTCATTAGCCTCTGTCCGCAGGAGCCTGCCAGTCCCACTAACTGAGTGTTAGGCCCAGCGGGATGCTTCCATCCCACAGCTCTCCCTGCTCACTTTCCTTGGATCCATGTCAAGGCCTAGGTAGCCAGGCGCCATGATGGTCATTTGATTTCTCTTGTTATCAAGTTGGCAATTAACAAAAGAGCTGATGATTGCTATATTGACTGACTGACTGTGGGTCTTCTTTTTCTATCTGCGCTATCTCAGCTGGGGAAGGGATGGCAGAAGGGTGGGTTAGTGGTATTTATTTATCACTACGCCATGTTTTGTGTTTGTGTTGCCAGGGGAAGCAAAGGGTGATAATGGCCTGGCAGCCCTTGGACATCCAATTTCCCTTATCAGGCCACTGAATAGAAAAGAGGCCCCAGGCCACATTAATTAACAGATACCAATCAGCTGTCACATGTTGTGTGTGCAAGGTCTGAGGGGAGCAGTGGGTGGGAGGAAAGAATCAATAAACCACTGGGGAGGAGTGCCAGAAGGAACAGCTAAAGAGTCCAGGCTGCTGGGGAGAAAAGCTGCAAAAATCCAGCTCCATGACTGTGAGATTGATTCCTGTACAGCACAGCCCACGTAGCCCTGTGCCCGATGAAACCCATCCCTTGCTGAGGATGCAGGGATGCCTTTCTCCTTTTTCTCTTTAGTCTCCTGCTCCTTAACTCCTATTAAAGAGCAGCCAGTACACTGCTTTTTTGCTGCTCCTGAATGCAGCCATCCCAAGTCCAAGAGCAGGCTGAGGCAGCTCACAGGCTTGGTCCTGTCTCCCCAGGTCTCCTTGCTACTCAGGAGCCTCATAGGATTAGCTATGAGGCAGAGGAAGCTGTGCACAGGCACTGGCACAGTCTCTGGTGCCTGGAATTTCTCCTCTGCAGCCAGCTTTCAGCCTTTCATTCACCTTTCTCCTAGCTCTGCCCATGGAGAGCAGCCCCACATTTTGGCTGCTGCCTTAAGTCCAGTTTCTGGGTAAATCCTGTGGCCCTTCTGCACTGCCATTATTCATCTGGGTTGCAAATGGGGTTATGCTGTTGTCTCAATGCAGTCTGTCAACAAAATTTGTTAAAGATTGAGAAACAGTTATGTAGTATGGTGAGAGGATCCAAGACAGACATAGCTCACACATTTCTGTTACAGAATGAAGTGCAAAATCTTGATATGTCCTAGCAGTAGCCTGTACACTCAGCACCTCTATGAATCACTCTTTCCCAGAGGTCGTTATGGCAGGTAAAGAATTGCAAAGCAGAGGCCATTCTTTACCTATGCCAAAGGAGACAGAAGAGCCAGCTGCAATTGCCCTGCCCACCCAGCAGAGTCCTCTGCCAGTCTCCTGTGGTGAGCATGAAGGCAGGAGCTGCAGTGCCAGTTCTGGATTTGAAATGCGTAACAGAATTGGGACCCTCCACTGTTTCCACAAGTAGAATGCAAGGGCTGGGGGACTGTGATGTATGATATTGCACTCTGCACAGACAAGAGACAACATCAGACAGATCAGACAACATAGGGTTTCCCATATATGAAAGTTGGGATCTGGAGTGTTAAATGCTAATTTCATTTGGCCAACATCAGAGGCTCACTGTTATAGGTTTGTAACACCGGAGAACATCCAGTTGTGAAATTCAAGTGCGTCACCAGATCATAGCTCACAGGAATTGCTAGCAATCCAGCCTTGTGCATTCCTGAGTTGTTTGATAGCACAGCATCCAGAAAGTGCCCTTACTAATCTGTTTCTTGCTGCAGGCCTTATTCTGAAAGGTGCTGACTACTCCACCGGCAGCGGAAGGCTCCAAAAAAATATCTCAGGATTGCATAGGCTCCGTGATCAGCACAGAGCTGCATGAGCATTTCCCTCCTTCCCAGGTGCGGGTAGAGAAAAGCTGCTTTATTTGCAATAGCTGATGTGACATGCTTTTTTTTTAATCATTATTTTTGTGGCTTATTTTTCCCCCTCAGCGATAT